CTTGGGATGATACTGTTATGGTTTTGTAACAGAAAGAGCGAGATTCCCACGATGGCCCTAAGATCTTGGCGTAAATTGCGGAATAGATTTGTACGAGTTTGTACTAGGCGGTTAGACAGCTGTCCCAATAAGATTCCTTACTGAAAATGGAAATGTACCTTATTTAGGGTTCCCCTACTATATAAAGGGGACACCAATCATTTGTAACGCATCATCAATCATTGGCAAAAGAATATACACTCTTACTTTCTTGCTCATTATTCATCAGAATTGTCTCTTAACTTTATTGTCCTTATTTTACTGTTCTTATTGACCTACCCCGAGGCCATCATAACTCGAGGTCAAGACTTGCTTAAGCATTGGTTTGATTCAACGTACTTCTTTAATTTATACGTTTAGTTTCTTGGTTATTTGTTAGTATTGGACTAAATCACGTGCCTTTAAGAACACAAAATAAGTTTAATTGTTACTCGAATATTAGGGTAAACACAATCCAATCCGATATAGTTGGTTTGATTTGGTTTTGATAAAAATCGAACCAACCCGATCCATGTACACTCCAGATACAATTGTTTCTTGTTCTCGTTCTCGTCCTCATTTAATTAGTTTCGTGACCGCAAAGGAGGAAAAATATGAAAGGATAGTCCTTATTTTGATGCAATACGTAAGAAATTTCACATAACGTAGATAGTCCTGCATCAGGACATATTTCGCCCAAGTTAAGAAAACATTTGGAAGACTTAGTACTTCATTGCAGTTAAAAAGGCAAAATACATCAGTTACCACCTGAACTATGGCCCATATCCCCCTTATACACTTTTTGTGGATGATAATAACATTACACACGCAATCTTTCTAAAGTGTATCTAGAGCACATCACATTTGACAGATGGCGTGTATCTAAGCGCCATATGTCCAGCCTTTTTTACTTTTAAACTTTTTTTGAGTCAATTCTTATTTTTCTATTTTTAATTATTTCATCTCCAAATAATTTGGTCCCTTTTCCACACCCTACCACCCCACCCGTTTTCCTCTTCCCCTGGCCACCCACTTTGTCTTCTCCATAGATTAAACTCTAAAACACACATTAACTGTAGAGCTTGATCCATGTTCTAAATTATTAGTCATCTCCTCCAAGATTTAACCTTTTCAAATCTGCTAATAAAATTAATGATTGGTTTCTCTATTTGTATTCATAATTTTGTTTTTAGATCTGCTGATTCTTTCTTTGACTTCAAAAATCTATTTTTTAATTTGAATGGGTGTGAAAAAAGGGGGTTATAGTGTTTGTGGGTTTTGCTCTAAAAATTATGACAATGGTGATTTTAATAAAGAAAAAAACTTTTTTGTAGAATAAGATGGACATCTTTAGCTTATTCATTTCTAAGAGTCAAGCTCCATTAGCAATAGTGAGAAAATGGGACATGGTGCTGCTAACTATGGCGTTAATGGTGGAAAGCCTATGATAGGGTTGTGATTGTGGAGAAGATGACTAAGTGGGTTGGTTGGGGGGGGGGGGGTAGGAATTACTAAAAGCGGGAAAGGAGGATCTTTTTTAGTTTTTTTTTCTTTTTTTAAAGAAGAAATTTTAATTATGGTGTAAATTAGGTATTTTATTGTATTTTCTTTCTGTTTTGACACGTGTCACAATATTATTGGTGTGTGATATTACACATATTTTGAAAAGCTGGTCAACAAAAAGATGGTGTGTACTAGATACACTTTAGAAAGGTTGCGTGTGTAATATTATTATCGTCCACAGAAAGAGTGTAAGGGGGATTTGGGCCATAGGTCAGGTGGCAACTTATGTATTTGCCCAGTTAAAATAACATTTTAAAGGTTTTTGGCAATAAAAAGAATTGGTTTGTAGATAGCAAAATCATCCGGTAATTAAGGAAAAATAATTAAGATACAGTAAATGAGGTTGAGAATGATTAGCCATAAGATTAATATGCAAATTTCAAGAAAAGGAAAAGGAAAATACAACAACCAACTTGAGTAGTTTGGAGTTTGGACTATGAATTATGACAGTTGCACAACTCGAAGCCAGTGAGATATTCTATTAATAGTGTTTGCAACAAATTTATGCAGAGAAAAATAAAACTGCAATTACAAACAACTATAAAGAAGATTTTATTGTGGTCCACTTTAAATCAACACATTACTCTCCCGGTTCACTTTAAGTGATTTTTTGATCTTTTTTTGTGGTCCACGATATTTGATTTTTTCAAATACTAAGAAGGAATTAACTTCTTTTAAAAATTGTCCTTGGAGTAAAAAGCCTAAGAATAGTTTGTTATATTTCCAATGAGCAAATTAAGGTTAATATGGTCAATTTTATTGTTAATTAATGCTAAAAGGTGAATCCCTTAATATGTGTGGAAAAAACAAAAAATCACTTAAAGTGGACGGGAGGGAGTAATTTAGAGAGGGGTGTGTTTAATCCAATTGAAAACGTATTGGCTCCTAAACATTCTTGGAATTTTTACATTCATATACCACATAGGAAACCTTTTTACCCTACATATTTAAGGTTTGAGTAAATTACACTTAGTATACCAAATTACCAATCCTATACCATACTTAATTAAGGGTCTAATTAATGGGTTGTTTTTACTCCTTAATTAAAGGTATCCATATCTAATTAATGGGCAGTTTTTACTCCTTAATTAAAGGTATCCATATATCTCACGTTTCTCTCTCCTTACCCCTCACCCCCTCACCCACGTTTTTACCCATACCCACATTCTTTCTTGTTCTTCATCCACGATTGCAAGATCAATCAACGAAAGATGTCCTTGAGATGCATTAGCCAGCGAAATCTCATTATATTTGAATGTCGTGCCAATTTCCTCTGCAACAATTGTGGCATGTGATCTGATTTTCTGAAAGTCTACATGAAATCAAAAGTTGCAACAAACATTTTAATACGGCACGAACTAGCAAAACAATGAAAGCAGATACACTTTAGTAGTTTTTTTTTTTTTGGGGTACCAAATAAAATTCCCTCTTCTGGAAAAGTCAAAAATGAGAAATTTATTGGTAAAGAGACTAATATGAAAAGCTGCCGACAACTTCTCCAAACGACTTAGAAATACTGACTGTTGAGGCCCTCACCTAGATTTACTGTTTGTCGTGTATTTGTAGTGTAATTGCAGTGTAATTGTAGTGTAATTGTATATTTAGTGTAATGGATATGATCTGTTGAAGCCCTCACCTAGATTTACTGTTTGTAGTGTAATTGTAGTTAGTTTGTAGTTTAGGTAGAACATTCCAAGATTAAGTGTAGTCTAAAATGTAGATATAATGTAGATATGATTGTGGATGATGTGTTTCCTGTTTGCCCTGTAACTGTAGGTAAATTGTAGTTATTCTTATATTAGGTACTTAAACTGTAGGTAATTTGTACATTCACTGTAGGTAAACTGTAGGTAAATTTGTTTGAATTGTAGAACTGGTTTTATAGATAATTGTAGAGTTTTTGTAGTTAATAGTAGTTATAATGTAGGATTCATGTACCGCTTCACACCATCTATCACAGTATGGATATGATATGTTGAAGCCCTCACCTAGAATTACATAACAAACAACAATAAAAATATTTACAATCATAAAATAGTTTATCTACAATCTACAACGTATCTACAATTATATCTACAAATTATCTACAATCTACAAATTAACTACAATTTGTCTACAAATTATATACAATCTACTATTTGATTTCACGATGTATTTGATTTCTACAATTTTTTCTGTAGTATCAATTGATACTTGTTCTGCAATTGTAGAAATCAGGATACTGTAGCTTGCATTCTCATCTACCACAATGGCATCAACTTCAAAATCTCTAAATCTGCCATAATTATCCTAATCCCCATTAAATTGTAGCATGATTGCGATTTTGGACATGATTTGTTGTTGATGTTGATGTTTTTTTTTTGGATTTCTAGATTGAAAGAAGAAAAGATGAAGAAGAGATATATGTGATCGATAATTTGATAGAAGCAACGACGAAGAACAGATTTTTTCAACTTTGAGTTGTTGAAACTCGAAATTTTGAATTCTACAATTTGAATTCAGCTCGTCGAAACTCTTAGTAGTTGAATCTGTTCTTATTTTTAGGAGCTGTTCGTTCTTTTTTATTTTCAGAATTTGAATTGCAGTTCTGGAGAAAAAAACGCAGATGAGAAATCTCCTTTCCCTTTTTAAAAATTGAATTTAATGTAGAATCAATTATCACCAAGATTCTCTCCTTAATTTTAGCGCGTTTTTAGGGAATATTCTGCTCTTTTAATACCTAATAGTCGAATGGGAGAAATTTTACTATGCGAGTCACATAACCAACATTACTTATGCGAGTCTAGTTTATTTCTTGACAAGTGGACTCAAGTTCCTACTTACTTATTTTAAAGCATAAGCTAAAAAAGGTAATATTTAGGTCTACTCTTTTTCCTAATTAGAGGCTTAACTAATGAACAATAAAAGGAAATTCGCCCATTATATGGTCCCTCATTCTGTTTTTCCACCAGGAGTAGTAGAGGCCATTGAAGAGAGGAGGCCTGGCAGTGGATTGCCCTTCCCAGTTCCCAGGTGGTGCACTCATGTTGATCTTTTCCTAAGGTGTTAACCTCTTCAAGGATAACCTGCTATGATACCAATTGATGTT